AAAAACATTTTTTACTTATGTATACTAAGTGTATATTCTTAGTAGTTGAAAAATATATTGGTTCTACCTACCTATTACTTTCAACCTATAACACACAATTAGCTTATATCTTCTTCCTAATAGCACAATTATAAGGACAGGATTACAAAAAACATATTAAAGAGGTAAAGGGCATGTTGGGAAAATTTTCTCAGTCTTGCTTTCTCATCTCTTTAGCTTTCCTTTGTGTACATATTACTCATTACTCCTCTACCACCCCATTCCTTCATCTAAGGACATTCTGGGCTTGAAAGCAAAGACAATATTATCTATTTTTGCTATTGAATTAACACGTTTAGAAAAGGGAATAATACATAAAAACCAAGGGAGCATGTTAAAAAAATAAATAAGTAATAGAGTGGTTGAACCCCAACAATAATTATCTATCTGGCACTGCTGGAACAGAGGTTTCTATCTGGACTCCATATCATTACTATTGAGAGTACAGGTCTTCAATCATCAGAGTTTACACCACTGTTTTTTGGAATAAAGCTCAATTTTCATCTCTATCTAATTTAAAAATACATTTCACTCAAAGGAAAAGAACTTGTTTCTACAAGAGTAGAAACAGCAAGGCTTCCTCTATTTCTGAAAGAACCAACCAGGAGGGCCAAAGCAATTTTTTCCAGCACCATGATTCCTGTACTCATGATTTCCTTTTCCTCTTCCCCAACCCACTCGTAAATAGGAAACTGACTAACTATAGAGTATGATCATCCTATTAAAGACAATTCCCACCCCATACTCCCCAAAACAAGTTTGGTCAAATTTGACAAGGCAATTAAAGAAGATCAAGGAAAGACTCAGAAAACACCTAATACTAAGTTAAAATTCCAAAGTTATAACATCAAGTTATCAATTCATTCAACTTTTAACTCATTTAGGAATGTTTAAGCTATTAACTTAAAAAATATGGTGATTCTACTTTAGTAACTATAATCTACCTATATCCTCTTAATTGCACATGCTAATAGCTTTATTACATACTACTGATTCTTATAAGAAGTAAATCCAGGGACCATTCCACTTTATATTAGACATAACATTTACTAGTTTTCCAAGCATGACAGAAATGGAAAAATATAAGAACAAGAACAATTTATGTTGATTTCCACAATTTGTGTTCTTTCTGTGAGCAGTGCCTGATTCTATTAAAATAAACAAATTTACCTTGTACTATGCTTATGGGGAAAAAAACCTAATAAGACTAATTTACAAAGTATACAAGAATATAATTTTATAACAAATCTTTCCAGTGTTCACTATAACTGCATTACATGAAATATTTTCCCTCACAGAAACTTAAGGGTAGTTTGTAAAAGTGAACAGAAAATTTTCTGTGTTCAGCTCTATCAAGTAATGAACAAATACAACCTGCTGACAAAGGATCTAAAAGTGTTGCCTCAAGAATATAAACCACCATTAACATGCTGTGTGAATAAGTACTGGTGAGTGGCTACTATCTGGGAACCCCTTCCTCTCTTTTCACACCAGCAAACCCATCTCACGTCAAGCCTAAGAGAAAAACAAAACCATTGCAGAAGTGAAAACCAACATGCTCCAGTCAAACAACTAAGGGAACCATTTGAAAACAAAACTGAGAGAAGGCCTCTTTTATCAAAACAAAACAAAAAAACCCAAAGGCAAGTAAGTGCTGCTGTGTGACCATCAGGTGGACTTAGAGGCAAAAAATGTGACAACAGCAATAATTCAAGTAATGTATATCTGAAAATTTAAACACGACACTTTCAAGTTAAGACAAAAGTGAAGGATAGCTATGATCTTTATAACAGAGTCAAAAAGCTTAGGCATTATCACCAAATGTTAATTCACTTTACAGTCATCAATGAGACTAATGTATATATTTTTGCACCTTGCGCTTATAAAAGCAGATAAAATATTTAATGTGTAATGTACAATGTATTTTACCAGCTCAGCATACAGGATGTATATAGATTATATCAAAGTAGTAGACAGTTAGGGGCCTGTGCAAACCCTGCAAAAATAGTACTTCAGGTATCTGCTAATTAAAAAAACAAAAGAAAAGTCTGCTATTTAGAAGTGATACAATCCAAACTACCACAAAATACAAAGGGCTGCAAAAATGTATATCATTCCAACAACATATATAAGTTATTAAATAAAGATCTGATTTAAAAGAATATAAATGAAGCCTTTAAGTAGGTCTTTTCTACATGCATATTATTCCTTATTAAAGAAAAAAATATGTAAAAAGGCCATTGGTAATTGCTTTGTTAACATTTGTAGAAAATGCCAATTCTCTGGTCACAAACTCCACTAAGTTTAGCACTTAAGGTCTCTGCAGTGTTATAAACGTAATTTAAAATACTGTTAATCCTATAATTCCATTGGTAAAATAACGTGACTTGGAATATGGCAGTCTTCATGTTGAGGGCAATGATCCACAGTTTGTTTTATAATTTCTTAGATGGGAACAGTTATCCAGACGAACAGCAACCTCCGCCACTGCTCTGGGTTTGAGGTTCATCATCAATAATCTGTACACCTCTCCTTGCAGCTCCTGGCTGACTGGAGCCATTGCCTTTTGCCCGCTCATCCACTTGTGCTGTTTCTATCATTCCTAAGAAATGAAGGGAAAAATTATTTATGGCCACAATTTTTAAGTTACATTAATTTTTTTAGCTATGTTCAATAAGTAGCTTTTCCTACAAGTTTTTAAAGTTAAGAGCAAGTAAATTTGTCCAGTGCACAGTGACCTCAACAGAGAAAAAAATACTGCATTAAAAACAAATGGCTACGCAGAATTCTTAAGATTTTCAAGCGTAGCTAGAAATATATCATAATTCCAATTGTTCCACACACGAATATTTAAAATACAAGATTTATTCTTCAACTTATGACATAATACTTTTATGATACTATAAGAATGAATTAGAGGGCCTCCCTGGTGGTGCAAGGGGTTAAAGCACAGCACTATAAAGCCATCGGCAGCCACTGCAGTACCAGTTTGATCCCTGGCCAGGGATGTGACCCACATGGCACAGCAGACCTCTGCTGTTTTGCCTGCTGTTTCCCTCAGCAGTGTATTTCAGTACATTTGCCTGTTCTGCTCCCCACTCTGTCTCTGGTGAATCCTCTTACCCCCTGCACTTCTGGCCTGAGTCCCAGTTCTTGTATGCATAATTAAATAAATCTTTTTTAAAAAAAGTATAAAGTTCATAAATTTCAAGTATAATTTGACAAAATCATTTCATTCTATTATTCTATAGACTAGGGTTTCCCAAAATATAATATATACCATATTGATGATATGAGAAATGACATTTAGATTAATAAACAAATTTATTTTCCTTTCTCTCTTTTTAAAAAGTAAAGTTTCAAACATTAATAGAAGTTGGAATAGCATAATAAAAATCATCCATACCAGGATTTTAAACAAAATCCCGGACACAATTTTACTCAGTTTTTTTTTACAAGTATAACTATACTACCCCAATCACTTAAAAAATTTATATTCATGTCTTAGTATCATCAAATATTCAGTGAGTGTTCACATAGTCCTGTTTCTAGATATTCTTTTTTATTAGTTTGTCAAATTTGAACCCAAATAAAGTCCATCCAAAGCAACAGGTTGTTACAGGTCTTAAATCTATGAACTATATTTTGTCCATTTTTACTTTTAATGCATTTATTTTAATATGTATATAGCATATAGCACACATAATTTCATAACTATTAACTATGGCTCAAAATAAGGCTAACGCATTTATATATTTTTTAAAATGAGTTAAAAAACATTAAAAGTAATGACTGTCAGATGTGACAAATCATCAATGTGATCATTAATGGAGGGAGTAAAACATCACTTTAAAATAGTACCAATATTCTATATAAAGAGTCATTTTTAAACATACTAATTCTGAACATACTTACTTTTGCAAAGGTCAAGAAAGAGTTCTTCAATTCCTTTGTTCTGTTTCGCTGATGTATGATAATGCTTAGCTCCCACAGATTCTGCATATCTTTTTAAAAAAAAGTAACATAATTGATGTAAGAAATAAAGTTTTTGTGTTTTGTCAAGATTGCTACTTGAATTTTTTCACAACAGCAGTTTTAGTGACTTATTACTAACCTGGATTTAGTAAAATTAAGATTATATAGACATTTAACATTTCTGTATATTGAGCTCAATTTTCAATAATAACACATCTAACAAGATTTGAAAATTTTATAAATTTGGAATTCAAGTATTTTCAAAGATTTTGTGATTCACAACAGTTTTCTTTTGCTTCACTCAGATTTCCTTTACTGAAAACATACTGCAAAGAGAAGACACCCAATGGTGGTGAGCAGGGGAGAGGGAAGGGGATAACACTTACGATTCTGCTTCTTGAATGGAAACATGTCTCTCCTTTTCCAAGTCTATTTTATTACCTAATTTGAAAAAGTAAATGCCAATCTTTATTAATGATTCATTTATAATTAAATCAGGTCAATTCTAAATATATAATTATCACTTTAACCACCTGGAAAAATAATACTGGTTCCTATCAGATTTTACAATGTCTTGAAATTATAAAGTTAATACCTAAAATATTATAATCTCTCAAACAGCATAATGCGTAACCTTCTTGAAGCTATAGTCTCTGTCAGAAAGAATAACTTTCCAAAGAGACAAGCAATGTTTTTTGATTTGGGGTATAATATGAAACAAGATTAACTGGAACCTAGGGATAAACTTATGATTGTTAGTCAAGTGTAAATGGTTCTCAGCCAACTTACCATCAATCATAAACAAGGCAACTTTATTTTTTATGAAGATATATTAGGCTATGTTGTATTCCCCATTCTGTCTCTGGTGAATCTTCTCACCCCCTGCGCCTCTGTACCCCAGTTCTTGTATGCATAAATAAATAAATCTTAGCAAAACAACAAGAATATATCATGCTAGCCTCTTTGGTCCAAAAACTGCTTTGGTTTCCCAGATGATACCAACTGGTTAAAGAATTAAAATGTATGGCTTTTTAAGCATTTCACCACCAGAAAGGGAAACTGCACTGTTTGTTTTAAAAACACAGGAGAACTTAATACATGCACAGCATACAATTGAATGTTACTAAAAATAAGTTTATCTCTTCTGTTTAAACAATGAAACCAAACTGAGCTATATTAAAAAGACATCAAAAGTGAAGAAACTGCAAGTGCAGAATCCTTATTTAAGACAGCAATTAAGGGGAGTTTTTTAAAGCACAAAGTACTAAAGGTAATAGAAATAATGGATAAGAATGGGAAAAATACTGTGAGGAAGATCACTTCAAATCTTCCTTTCTTCTACTTTAACTAGGGTTTGGGGGAGGGGGAGAATAAGTGAGGAAAACCTTACATGCAGGTCAGTTTTTTCTTGGGGCCTTTTAGACGAAGTACCTCAAGATGTCATGTTTAGAACTGAAAGGTACATGCCCAGAGGTCTGTATATGCCAAACATCTAGTAATCTGAGCTCCTAGTTACTAGCAGATGCAAGCAACTATTTGACACCTCAGCCTAAGGCTAGAGTAGAGGAAGGGAGACAGAGAACAGTGGGTACCAACAAATTTAGTAATGAACTCTTCTTTTTTTGAGCAGTTACCCTGTCTACCTCAGCAAGAAGGTATTTCTTCCTATTTCCTACATTATAATTTGCTAATACAAATTTCAATTTGCTAAATATTACAGCCAATATATCCAACAGTCACCGGAGGACCAGAGGAAAAATAAGTTGTTTTATACTACAAAGAATGAACAAAGCACCATCTAGTGGCTGGTAATTTCAACATGGACACAACATTCTTAACGCTCAAAAAATAAACCAGATTGTCTTCTTTAACTAGCAAGAAACTTTAGTTCCAGTTAACTATGAGGTTAATTTTTGTTTATTTTTCTGGATCTTCGATACCTCTTATTTCAAATTTTACCAAAATCAAATACCTCAAGTGACAATTTAGGAGAAATTATTCCCAAATAATTTATGTAGCAGATTTTGCTTTATCATTTAATAACAGTTTAAACTTTACTAATTTTAAGAAACCTAGTTACCATTAAATAACTAAATGTTTTACCAACCTAATTATCATTGACTTAAAAAACTTTAATCTTTGGGACCTCCCTGGTGGTGCAGGGGTTAAAGTCACAGCACTATCAAGCTATCTTCAGCCACTACAGCATGATTTGATGTTCAATCGAACTGGCATGAGTTTGATTCCCAACCAGGGAGAACCCACATGGCACAGCAGACCTCTCCTGTCTCACCTGCTGCACTCCTCAGTAGATCTGGCTATACTGCTTCCTATTCTGTCTCTAGTTAATACTCTTACTCCTGGCACCTCTGATCTACATCCCAGTTTTTGCATACATAAATAAAATAACTCTTTAAAGAAAAAACTTTAATTGAGTAATCAATGAACTCTGTTAATACTAGCATCTTTCCAAAACACCTATATTCTTTTAAAAGCAAGACAACTAAAAGACTAAGCTTCAAAAATTTTACCTGTTTGAATACTACTGTGTGCCTGAGAACCTTTCTAACAGGACTAAATCACTTGAAAGCCAGCCATCAAAGTATGGTTCTAGAATCATACTTTCCTTAGACTGCAGAGAATGTAGCCACATGGAGAGAAACTTCAAAAGGATTTTAAATCTGTTAAAATTTGTTTTTAAGTCTTGACTCACATCATAAAACTACAGGCAAACTGGCCCCTCTCTGGTGGCACAACCGGTTGAAATGCAGCTCTACAAAACTAGCTGAAGTTGCTTCAGCATGAGTTTTGATCCCTGGCCGGGGAGGTGACCCACATGGTACCACAGACCTCTCCTATTTTGCCTGGTGCTCCCCAAAGTAGTGTACTTTGTCAGTCAGCCTGTTCTGCTCTGCACAGCACGATCTATTTCTATCCTTTGAGTCAAATTTTTCCCTCAGTTCAAAAATGTGTATAATTAAATGTATAGAACAAGAACTAGCTTAAGTCAGTGGCCTTTTAAAAACTCTATTTCAAGTAGTCCCTGAACTCTTTTTTTTGTTTTAATAAAATCTCATGGTAAAAACTAAAGGTCAAATGAAAGCTTATGTGGAAGACCATAAGCTAGATGTTTGGCTTCCCATTTGCTCCCCAAGGTATTCCTTGAAGTACAGAAACTACCCTGAAAGATCACTTCCAAATCCTAAATTATTGTAAAGTATTAGTATTCAAATGCCATTCTTCTTTCATGAAACTTTTAACTAATTACCTACTTACTATTCTTTAATAGAAAAATACAGAAATAAAGGGCATTAAAGAAAATGCTTACCAACTATACATAAACAGATTTCATTTCCCAACATTTTCCGTAATTCTTTCACCCAGTTTTTAACCTGCATGCAAAAGAGTAAATATTAAAACAAATTCTGTTTTAAAGACTATCATTGCAACACTGCAAAACTTAAATTATCAAAATAGCTCAGCTCCAAATTCTGTCTAACAACCCACATTATTTAGTTGCTACTACGAATGATTCACAGTAGGATCATTTAATACAAATTATATTGCAAACCACACATACAAACATCCAATGAGAAAATTTTTCTCTATATGCATCTACATATGGGTAGAGACAGAACACCTCTAACCACAAATTTCCATAAATCTTCTACAGACGCAAGCAAAGCTATTCATCAAAGAAAAGGCATGAAAATTCTAACCTCTGATAGGAGGGGTTTGTACAGTCTTTGCACTTACAAACACGTGGTTGCTTGCAGCCTTTGCTCCTAAGCAGGATATAGGAGTTTCTGTGCCACACATTTAAAAAAATGTATATAGACACCCCCCCCAAAAAAAAAGTAGCAAAATTCTCGTCCTTTTGTGCAAGACAGAGTTTTTTAATCTTGGCACTAATGATATTTTTGCTCAGATAATTCCTGTCATGAGAGATTGTCCTGTACAATGTATATATATGTTTAGCAGCATTCCCAGTCTCCTGATCACTAGACACCAGTAGCCCTCCCATTACAACAAGCTAGTTGTCCCCAGACATTACCATCCCCTGGTGGAGAACCCCTGGAATACAATGATGCCAGTAACAAACTGGTTCTTCACTGGAAGAAGCAAAGCAGCAGGCACAGATGGGAGTTAAATAATCCATTTTTTGAACTCATGGTTTCAAATCTATTGACTGTAGTAAAAATAAAGAAACTTGATACTTCTCATTTTTTGTAATGGAATTTAATTTGCATGTAATTAAATCACAAAGTACTTATACAACTGTCCTCCTCCCTCAAAAAAAAAAAA